ACTAAATGTCAAGTTGTGCTGGGTATCTTGCCTTTGTAATTTATATTATTATTGATTATATGTTGTTTTTGTTCTCTGTTCAGTTTCAGCAACTGCAAATAATGTTTCTATTCAAATCAGTGTCATTCCCATGTTGAATGGTACAAACTTCAGGATCTGGAAAGAGAATGTGGAAATCGTTCTCAGTTGCATGGATTTAGACCTTGCGTTAAGGACGGAGCGACCCATCTCGGCTAAGGACAATTCCAATGAGGCCAAAGTTGAGAAATGGGATCACTCTAATCGCATAAGTCTGATGATTATGAAACGTTCCATACCGGAAGCGTTTCGGGGCTCTATTTCTGAGAGCAATAATGTTAAGGAATCCCTTGTGGCGATACAACAGTATTTTGCCAAGAATGAGAAAGCAGAGACTAGCAATCTTTTAGCTACTCTAATTTCTATGAGGTACAAGGGAAAAGGAAATATAAAGAAGGGTACGTCTCTCACTTTAGTTTGTTCTGAGGCTAATTTAGCTTCTGTACCTATAGACACTTGGTGGATAGATTCTGGCGCTACTACCCACATAAGTGTGTCTATGCAGGGTTGCATCTAGAGCTGACCGCCAACTGATGTTGAAAGATTCATCTATGTAAGCAATGGCAATAAAGTTCTTGTGGAAGCTGTAGGACATTTTACATTGATTTTAAAAACTGGTTGTTATTTGAATTTAGTTGAGACATTTGTAGCTCCGTCATTTAAACGGAACTTAATTTCTATTTCCTGTTTAGACAAATCTGGTTACTTTTGTGGTTTTGTAAATAATAAAGTTAGTATTTCTCTAAATTCAAATATTATTGGTACCGGTATTTTAATTGATCGTCTTTATATGTTAGAAACTATTACTTCCCCAATGTAGTCCTGCATGCAAGTACTAAAGGTGCAAAGCGTAAATTAACCGAGAATTCTGCTTCCTTGTGGCATAAGCGCTTAGGCCACATCTCTAAACAGAGAATTCAGAGGCTTGTGTCGGATGAAATTCTTGATTCCCTTGATTTAACGGACTTCCAAGTCTGTATTGAGTGTATTAAGGGAAAATTGACAAACACAAAGAAATTAGGTGCCAATAGATGTACGGAAGTTTTAGAACTGATACATACGGACATCTGTGGGCCATTCCCTACGCTAGCATGGAATGGCCAATAGTACTTCATCACGTTCATAGACGACTATTCGCGGTATGGGTACCTATACTTAATAAGTGAGAAGTCTCAATCCCTGGATGTTTTCAAGTCTTATAAAGCTGAAGTTGAACTTCAATTTGGTAAGAAAATTAAAGCCGTCAAATCTGACCGTGGTGGGGAATACTATT